AAAGAAGTCTACATTTTAGAATAATTTCTATCATAATTTGTATGCGTACATGTACGCGCGTGTATCTACGTATCTACGCATCTGTGCACACATACACATACATGTGTTTACACCCATGTCCACACAAACACACGTTTTTGCCTTTAAGGAGCTTAGTATCTATAAAATGTGGCCACATGGTCGCCCTATGATTAAAGTTCCAAGGCTATATTTTTATTTCCTTGAAGACCACCATTTATTTAAAGCTGAAGTACTTAGCATTTCAAAAACAGGCAGAAAATCAGTTACTCTCACTATGAGAACAGACTTTGCTCTCTGCACTGGATTCCAAAACTGACGAACACTTCCCAACCGTACCAGTTAGACTCCAGACTACTTTATTCATGAAGAATCAGGACATTCATCAGACACAGTTGTATTATTTTCCAGATGTGGGATACACGGAGTCAACAATTCTCGGTGTTGCTAACCAATTTATTATAAATACACTGGAACTCTGGATATAAAGTTCAGTAATTAAACACTGAATAAACAGACTAAATCACCACCCCATCCTGCCAAAGGGGAATAAACTCTCTCTCCTGTTTATTACTTTTTTTTTTTTTAAGGGAAAAGAAGGCCCTTTTTCATCCCACATTCAATCATCAGTGAATTCTTCACATAATTCAGAACGCTCATGTTCCTGCTCTCTCACTCTGAAGTTTTAGCCTTTATTTCAGGAAGCACCTAAACATCTACAGGAGCTCCGCCTGCTTGTTCAGACAAAACTCCTACCCTGCCCGCAAACTCTTTCATTACCTTTACCAACCTTACCTGCTGTTTCTTTTCCCATGATACAAAACTGTTTATGAGAGAGGGGCGCTCAGAAAGTGCAGTATTTCATTTTAATTTCTTCTATAAAGCAGAATACGAAGGACAGAAGGAAAGAGACTAAGAAAGGAAGGAGGGGGAAATAACCCATGATATCCTATCGAATTTGTTAAATATTTATGATGGAAAAAGTTTACGTTTGTTTATTTTGAAACTGTTTTAATTTACAAATACAAAACACCCTGGAAGACAAAAATGAAAGAAAAACACAAAACACATATAGGCAAATTTTTACTCCATGAGCTTCTCAAATCCTCACTTATTCACCAATTCCCAAGATGGAAAAAGTCTCCTAAAAAGGTGTTCAGCCGCCACTGCAAAAGAAAGAAAAATGGTCCATCTCAGTGTATAGAACATTTTAATAACAATAATTATTTGAAATACAGTATCTATAATTTTATGGAACTAAAATCAGTTATTTGAGAACCCCAAGAGAGCATAAGGGAGAAGAAACTGTACTTTGAAATCTCAGAATGGGAAAGATCCTTAGAGATGATGTGGCTTCTGCAAAGGCTTATCTTAAAAACTCTGAATCCTCTTTGGGTAATGTGTTTTATGGTCTTATTTAGTAAGTCTTATTTAAGTCTTCTCTTTCTAAACAGGATGGAAAATATGAATTACATATAGGACAGTTAGTTGATTAAGTTTTTCAATTTGATATACAATCAACCGGCTGAAAATAAAGACTAAAACTAGCTCAACCATTCCCAACTACGATCACTAAAAAACAGGGGTTTGATCATAAAGAAAACAAAAATCACCTTTTCTACGAAAGAACTTCTAAATTTCAAAAGCTTAAACACTGTAACAGTCTGCTGAGATATACATTTCAGTATCGTTTAATAATTTTTTTAAAGTAGGCTCCACACCCAGTATGCGGCTTGAACTCACCACCGTTGAGACCAAGTGGCAAGCTCTACCAGCCAGGGTACGTACGATTTCTGACCGGTAATGGTAAAAGATATTGTGTGTTTGCCATGGAAACAATTAAGAGAAAGGAAACTGAATACTTGTTTCAAAACCCTCTTGGGAACAACCCAACTGATCTCAATCCAAAAGGGTGCACACTAAGAGTGTCTGTCCTAAACAGTACTTTAGGCCACAACTTAGATAATGAAATAAAAGATTCTCTGGTACAAAACTAGGATAAATAACCATGTTGGACAGAATAAAAACTCAAAAATCTTCCCTAAGGGAATCTAGGAAAAAGGAATTTAACAAGGATAATGTTCCATTCTTAACTTAAAACAAACCATCCCAACTGTTTAAACCCAGGATAAAGGAAATTTATTGTAGCAGTTATTTGTGAGAAACTGTCTGAGGATTTTAGCCAAGAGCAAGAAAACATCTGTAGCTGGCATTCAATCTGAAATACTGGATTTTAAAAGGACCGATGAAATGCGAACTGGAGCATGAAGGAAGGAATGTGACTCAGAATATGAATGTTGAACAGAGAGCTGGCTCTTAATAAGGGTTAAAAATATAGGCTCCTAGGTCAGTCAGCCTGGGTTTTATTTCTTTATTTTTCTTTATTTTTAAAAATATTTTATTTAAGCCAGTCTGGGTTTTATACGCTGCTTTACCACTTACCAGCCAAGCAACTTAGGTACCTACTTTTCATGCCTCAGTTTCTTCATCTATAAAATGAAAATAGTAGTGCTAGGCTCACAGAAGTGTGAGGATTAAAGGAGTTGGCCAAAGCATGAACAGTCCCTGGCACACTTGCCCAATAAATGTTAGAGATCATTATTACCACCATGACCATTAGAAAAAGATAAAGAACTGTAAGCTGTTCACTTAATTCAACAAACACTTATTCACTGCTTTTCATGGGTACAGGAGAGTACGCTGGACTAGGTTCTGCTGGATACACACACACTACAGAATACATACACACACACATATGCATTTACATATATTAGCATCTTAACATATATTGACATTTTGAGTGTGTATGTAAATATCTACAACACGATTCCCTCAGAGCTCATAATCTAAGGTGAAAGACAGGCCCTATCAAGGATGCAAGACAGACAGTAACATCTGGCAAGACAGAGTTAAAAAGACAGTTTTAAGTGAAGGCTGGGGAAAAAACGTAAAAAGCACTCATCTAACAAAATACTGAAAGAGACAGACACTTGTTATTCCAAAGGGTAAAACTAAGAAAAATGAGGGATGTTTACAGGAAACAAGTTCACATCAACTGAAAACAGTAACTGTATCAATTAAACCTGTCTGACGCTGGAATGGGAAGCAGGAGGCACTGAGCTCTGTGGAAAAGAAGGGACTTCACAGAAACCCACCCCACCCCTTCTGCTTACTGATGAGGTTACGTAGAGCCCAGGGATGCAGAGTGTTTCTTCTTGAGTATTCTCTGCATGATTCCAGCATTCTAGCGTGGAATACGTATTCCTCAGCAGTATTATCACAGAGATTTCTGAAGTGATGGAGTAGATTCAGACGTGATCCTTTCCAGGTCTAATTTTCACTGAACCTAAAGTCTCTCTTTGCAGCACTTCTGTTTAATAACCTCCGCTTAACAACTACAACAACCTACTTAAAAAACCCATCTGACAGTATCATTTAGTCACTTGTCATTTAGAAGAGAAATTCCACCAGTATCCAGAGTAAAGCATCTAGGACTTAAAAAATTTATAGTATACAAAGCATTTTTTTTTCCCCTTAGATTTTACTTATTAGAGAGATAGAGCACAAGTAGGCAGAGCAGCAGAGGGGGAGGGAGAAGCAGACTCCCCGCTGAGCAGAGGAGCCCGATGAGGGACTCAATCCCAGGACCCCGGGATCATGACCCGAGCCGAAGACAGCCGCTTAACTGACTGAGCCACCCAGGCGCCCTTAGAAAACATGTCTAAGTAACTGTTCCAAACCTCTCTATCCCCTTGAATAAGCCTAATAGGTATCACTACCTCTCAATGACAGATAAAGCTCAGATTAAATAAATACAAGAATCTAAGAACAAGTAAGTATTGCAACTCATAGTAAGTCTTTACATCAAACTGAAATGCCTAGAACACCCAGGGGTGCCTGGGTGGCTCAGGTCATGATCCCAGGGTCCTGCTTCACCCTCTGCCTGCTGCTCCCCCTGCTTGTGTGCGCTCTCTGACAAATAAAATCTTTAAGGATAAATAAATAAATAAAATGCCTAAACATGAACTATTCTAATTGCTCACTGCCATTAGGTTTCTCCATAACTTATAATCAATTGGAAAAGAAAAGCTTTTAGAAAAGAATAAAGTGATCTCAGTGCTTCTTAATGTTTTCTTCTCCTCTCTAATACACTAGAAGAAACCCTCCATTAGTACAGTGGTTCATGACAGTCACAACAACTTCCATTTCCACTTTTATCCAAATTTTTAGGGTTTTACACGACTTAAGTCATTGATTTTTCCTATAATCCAAGTAAGAGCTCTTAGCCTTATAGAATAAACTGGGCACAGAGAAGCTAAGTACCTCGCCCAAGTTCATGACATCTATTAAGTAAAAAGAAAAGAGGATCTGAACCTACAAGATCTGGTCTAGTCTGGACTCTATCAAGGTGGTGATTTTCAGACAGGGAGCATTTCTTCTGCACCTTAAAAACCAACAAGTTACTATATAGCATAAAGAAGATTTAAATTTGACCACTGGCTCTATCACTTGCTTTATCACATACTGAGGGCTTTTAACCCACTTCCTTGACCCTTTAAAATTTTATTTATTAAAGAAAACTGTGCCTATTTCAGAGTTGCTATAAAGCCTCCAGAACATATAAAAGCACTCCTAACTATCAGGTACTCAAAAAGTACCAGTAGACTCTAGCAGCATTAAAAATTCAAAAGACATCTCTATGTATCAACAAAACAGGCTGTCAACTCAAACAATTTCAGTTCTTTTTAAAGACTTATTTGAGAGGGAGAGAGAGCACAAGCAAGTGCATGTGAAAGGGGGAGGGACAGAGGGCCAAATAATCTCCAGCAGAACCCCCAAGAAGAGTCTGATGCAGAGCTCAGTCTCACAACCCTGGATCATGACCGAAGCCAAAATTAAGTCAGACACTTAACCAACTGAGCCACCCAGGTGCCCTTCAATTTGTGTTCTATCCTAGATATTGTCTATTTCAAAAAGTTTACTTACACAATGATGTTATTAATAGGGATATGGATCAATTTCACAAAAAAGCCAATGAATCCCATTATAGCAAATCCTATTGCTGTTGCCATGGCAATCTTCTGGAATTCTGGATTTAAAAACACAAGATTTAGATTATTTTTTGCACTGTCATTGCAAGTATAGGAGAGAAAACTAACAGTGACATAAATAAACTTAGTGCTGTACATTTCTCCTGATAGTAAATCTATCATTTTAAATTAAACAAAGCATGGTATTAAGAAATAAATTGCTTGACAGATCTTTAAATTTTCATATTTTATTGATATTTAAGGACACAGAAATAGAGTGGCTGCCCATGCTAGTGAATCCATCAACAGGCAGCAAAATAGTCTATCTTGGTAGCAAATGAACAGAATACAAAAAAAAAAAAAAAAAAGAAACATGAATAAAAGAAATACACAGTATGTTTTCAAAGTTGTTATACTGTATAATAAGTGAAGTTGTTATACTGTTAAAAGTATTAATTACAGAAACACAGAACATGATTTTTTTTTTTTTAATAAACAATACATCTGTCGTCTTTGATAACATAATGAAGCCAGAAATAAAGCCTGAGAAAGCAAACTGGGCTGGGCACAACGCTACGTTAAAGTTTCAGACCTTGGTAATGCATCCATTTAATGTTATTTCCTCGGGGAAGCTCCCCCCCTTCCTGACTTGGTTAGTCGCATTATGTCCTGTCCAAACTCCTATTTCTCCTCTAAAGGAATTACCCCAGCTGGAATTAAAGTGATAACTGCCATTCATGACCGTCTTCCCTCAAAGATTCTAAACTCCTTCAGAGCAAGGACGATTCTGTTACATGTTTTCTGTGTTACACTACATACACACTATAACCTAATATATTCTCTACTACATTCCCAGCTCCTAACTTCAGGCAGCACGCAAATGAAGAAAGGTAAACAAATTCGGGCACACCTTTTAACAGATAAATTAAGATAACTAAGAATTTAACTTCCAAGGTCGGCAACAACTGTAGTACTGATTTCATGTTAAGGTTTTGTTTAGGGGAAGAAGTGGGAAGGGGGCAGTGGCAGCACGGAGAGGACTCCACAAGAGTTTCCGGAGTGGAAATGTGGAAGATACTAAAAACTCCGAAGTCATTAACTCTGACTGAGGCAAACCTAACATGGGAATGAAGACTGTAATCACCTTTCACTATATGAAAATGCATAAAACAGAGAAATCTGCAAAGTGTAAAAAAGTGTATAAAATTTAGGAAGAAATGACAGTATTAAAAAGCAATAAGATGAAAATAACGCAACAATTATTAAACTGCAAGATATTAATCAAAGACAAGACCTAGAAAATGCCAAGAGTTAATCTCTCCTCCCATTTTAAAGCTGTTACCTTTTCTGTCAGGTTTGGTGCACCGTTTCACCAGCCGGATTGAGTCCTTCACGAACTGCCGACTGGGCTCCACGAACTGCATTACCTGATCCATGATGCCTATTTCAACAAAACAGAAAAGTAAAAAATACTCACTGGTATCCCTTATCACAAAGTAAGTACTTGCGCAGTTACACCAAAATGTAGAGGAGAGCAGCCACGAATTCATGTCTGAGACGAGTCGATTCCATCTTATAAAATCAAACAAAAAAGTACAGATTCCAAGCCTAAACTGACATTGTTTTTATAAACATACTTACGCTTGTTTTCTTAGTATTCCACTTAAGCTCTTTCTTCAAACCCAGTGGGCTTAAACTTTATCGCTGTCCTGAAAGAGGTTAAGGGGTCTTTCTTCGGGGCCGGGGCCGGGGCGGGGGGCGGGGGGGAGGACGCTCACAATGCACAAACCCGGCACTCACTTCCAGCGGAGGGGATCTAGGGACACGCTACGATCTCTCGATCTAGTCTAGACCAATCCTCCCAGTGTAGCCCGGTGAAGTGGGAGGGCCAGGGCTGACTAGCTCTTCCGAGACCGGACGCTACGCACAAATCCCCAAAGCCAAGCCCGCAGGGAACCCCGGCCGCAGCCATCCGCTCTGGCTGGAGCACAGAACACATCGACGGCCCCCAACAGAGTGCGAGTGGCACACAAAGGCGGCCGTGCGCAAACAGCCAAGAAGCCAAAGCCTGGCCCAGCTCTTTAAGCGCTGAAGGACCAGAGGCCATCAGAGCCACTCTCCTTCGCGCCCTGGGGAGGCCGCCGCCTGGGGGCTTTGCTTCCACAGAAGCCGTACTAGGAAGTGTGCGGGCAGCGGAAAGCGCCGGACCTCGGTCTCCGACCTGAGCAAGCGGCCCTTCTTACCGCCAGCCCCTAAGAGCCTCCCGGCGACACCCGCCGCCTCGCCCACGCCCGCTGCCGCCGCTTGTCACAAAGGCTTCAGCCCAAGCCCACCAGGAGACACAGCCTCACCTGTCAGCCAACACCTCACACGCCGCCGACACGTAGCACAAAAGCTGACTGACCCAGGGCCACCGGAACCGGAAGCCGAGTCTCTGCCCTCTAGCCAGCCCACCCTTCCGTTTATTGGTCCTTTACGCGGAGACTCGGTGCGCAGGCGCAGCTTGAAGTACGGCTCGGACACGCATCCCGGAAGAGGTACGCTGCGGCGCTTGATGACGTGCACTACTGTAGGGTTTGGTTTTCTTCTGCAGCGTGAGTGTGGAGTCTACGGTTTTGTTCCCTAAATCCTCGGAGCTCCACCAGCCAAATATCACCCTATTCGCATTCACATAGCAAGACCGCCTGCGGCCTTGCGCCGTGCCTGCTCCATTAGAAACGAGCTGGGTAAATCTCTATTTAGATTCCATTTGATCGGATGATTTCTGATATGCTTCTGTTTTCAGCAGTTCATCTTGTTCTCATACCTCCTGACTATCCATCCTTTTTATATGTATTTAATTTTACGGATCAAAACGAAGTTTACGAGCAACACAATCACTGTTCCTCGCTCGGAATAGTTTCCAACCCCTAGACCTGGCCCTCTTGTGGTATCAGCCTTGGGACTATATCTAGAATTGAGTCCTTCAGTAGGTATACCCTAGGTTTGGTTTGGAGAAAGGGTTATAATGTATATATGTGTATGTTATCTGACTATGCTTTGGTGAGACTATGATGAACTCAGATATTTGGTGGTAACAGGTGAGCTTGTGATTTTTAGAGTGACTCATTCCTTGAATAATTATTTGAAAGCCTGTAGGTGATTATTTATTAAGCACTGTGTAAGACCCTCGTGGAGCTTATTGTTGGAATTTGCAGTGGAAGGAGAGAGAGTTTATATAAATGCTACATAGCAAATAAAAGGGGGATGTTGTGAAGAGAGAGAGAGAGGGAAAAAAAAAAGATGTTGGGATAAAGAGAGGATTCCCTTAGATGTCCCCTATAAGGACTTTTCGGAGATGACATATGGGCTGCAGTCCTAGGGATGAGGAATTATTCAGAATTTAAAAATGACTCTTAGGTCTTTTCAGAATTTTAAAATGGCCCTTAGGACCAAAACAAAATATCCCTATGAACTTCGCCATGTGTATAGACCACCTGCAATACAGTGTATGGGCTTCTGACCTCTAAGCCATTGAATCAGAATATCTAAGTGGTATAGTACTAAGAAGGCAACTACTAAAAATAAATAAGTAAATAATTCTGGAGTGATAATAGTCTTTCAGCTAATCATGTATTAGAATGGCATTCAAAGAAATAATACAGTTCATCCAAAAGGACACAGGGACGGAAGAACAGAGGAAAACAAAAAAGCTAGGCAGTCGAAAAAAAAAAAAAACAAAACAAAAAACCCCAAATAATAAAGCAGGAGAACAAATGTAACCACATTTATAATTGTATGTCATCTAAATGTAATGTTTGTGTTTAAAAATGCCCCTCAAACACAAGTCAAAGTGCGTTTAAAATCCAAAGATTTGGCTATATGCTAATTGGATGGATGCAGTCTAAATATAAAGGCACAGGTTGTGAGTAAATAAATGGAAATGGAAACTCTGAGAAGACTGTCAGAATTTAGTACCAGGGTTTCTTGATAGCAGGTAATATTAGATCATGTCGATTTTAACAAAGGGAATTACTGGAGATAAAAAGCATTGCATAATGGTAAAAAGTCAATTCATGAGGAACTTGTATCAGTCATAAATTTGTGTTATCTTCAAATGACATGAAACAAAAATTAACAAAAAGACAAATCTGCAAACAAGCAGGAGATTTTAACTATTTCTTTCAGCACTTACGGAATTAGAAAAGAAAAATCAGTAAAGAAATTGAAGATCTGAACATGATCAACTACCTTGACTTAACTAAGTTATAAATGGAACAGTACTCCTCCAAACTGCACGTACGTTCTCTTCAAGTGCATATGGTACTTCTCCAAGAGAGAATGTACTGGGTCATAAAACAAGTCTTAAATATAAATAAAGATTCAAATCATGCATTGTTTTCTCTATTACAGAATTAAACCTGTAACAACCAGATAACCAGATAAATCCAAGTGTTGGGAAATTAAATAACATCCTTCTAAGTAAATCATGGGTCAAAGAAGAAATCACAAGGGAAATTTGAACATAACTTGAACTCAATGATAATGAGACCATAGTGTATCAAATCTAAAGATCCTACTACAGACCCACAAGAATAGTTAGAAAGGTTGATGACATCAAATCTGGGCATAAATAGAGATCAGTCAGAGCTCTTATTGTTGGTAGGAGTGTAAGATGAAGCAATCTTTTTGGAAGAGGTTTGGCGGTTTGTTATAAAACTAAGCACACAACACCCTGTTACCTCATAATTCCAATCTTAGGTATTTACTGAAGATATATGAAAGTATATTTACCTAAAGACTTACAGAAGAATATAGCAGGTTTATTTGTAATAGTCAAAAAACCTAAAGTGATTCAGGGGTCCGTCAAAAGAAGAGAAGATAGGATGATGTATCAAAGTGTTGAATTACTATATTGTATACCTGACACTAACCTAACACTGTATGTTAACTAACTGGAATTAAAATAAAAACTTTAAAAAAAGGAGAACAGATAAACAAAAAGGTGTATTTCCACAATTAAATGCTACTACAGAATTTAGAAAAAAATGTGTATCTACAACCATACTGATGAATATCAAAAACATGAATGAAAGAAGTCTCTGGGAAAGAGTGCATATTTTGCAATTCTGTTTTTAAGAAGAAAAAGGCAAGGCAGAGTTAATGCCTGGTGAAAACAGTGTGTGGAAGTAAGGACTGAGGAGAGTAAGGAAACTCAGGTAAAAATATGTAACTTGACAAGGGTTAGAGTTCCACAGGTGTCTTAGTTCAGAATGCATAACAAAATACCGTAAACTGGATGACTTAAACCATAAATATTTATTTCTCACAGTTCTGGAGGATCGAAGTCCCAGATTAGGGTACCAGCATGGTTGGGTTCTTGGTAGAGTACCTCTTCCCTATCCTCTGTTTGTATCCTCTGTGTATCCTCTCTTTGTATCCTTATATGGCTGAGAGAGTGCTCGTTCTTCCCCTTATATGGGTACTAATCCCTTCATTGGGCTCCACCCTTAGTACCTAAGTACCTCCCAAAGCCCCGCCTCCATCACAGAATGTGTCTGGGGAGTTCAAACATTCAGTGCATAGCAACAGGCATATGCATTTCTTACAGCTCATCAAATAGTACTCTTAAGGTCTCTGCATTCTACTTTATGAAAAATTTGCCTCAGAAACTAAAGCACTATAAGCAAATATGGAACTCTAGTTAAACAGGAGTGAAGTATACAATTATTTGTAGTTTACTTAGGTAAAAAGGTGGATTCATAGTTTGGTAGAAGAATGGATAGGTAAGTGATAAAGCAGATATAGGGAACCGTTACTTGTAGACTCTCGGTTGTGGTGGGGGGCGGTATTCAGTAAACAGTTTGTATGTATGAAATTTTTTGTAATATGGGGGAACGTCAAGTTTTAAAAATTTTGGTCTGACAACTAATGATGAATATAAATTGAAGTATATGTGGTAAAAGTATAAATTGCCCCTTAATTTAAAAACATCAGTGAAATACTAATGGTGTCATTTGAGATAAGCTAAGTTAATGCTCTCTTTAGATTCCTGAATCTCTGCCTGAAGGAAGAAAAAGTTTAAAACCCTGTATAGATAGGGAATTTTTTAAAACATCATATTTAAGTAATAAAACCTCTGCTTAGGTTAATGATTTTTTTACCCAGAGGTTTTGTCTTTTGTTTCTTAAAGTAGGAAAATATAATCTTTAATTGCAAATGGAATATATGATATTTTTGACATTTATTTTATTTATAAGCAAGATATCTTTGCTTTTATTTTTAATTTTTATTTATTTTTACAGATTTTATTTATTTATTTGACAGAGAGAGCACAAGTAGGCAGAGCAGCAGGCAGAGGGAGAGGGAGAAGCACGCTCTCCACTGAAAAGAGAGCCTGACCTGGTGCTCAATCCCAGGACCCTGGGATCATGACCTGAGCCAAAGGAAAGTGCTTAACCGACTGAGCCGCCCAGGCACCTCTCTCTCTGCTTATTTGAAGGAGAGTTAAAAATCACATCTCTATATCTTCCTTTTATAGACTTTCAAAGTGGGTATTGAAAACATATAACTGGAGTTCTCATTGCATAATTTAAGTTCTATTTTTTTCTTACAAAATAATATTGTACCATATGATTAGGAAAAGGCTAATTCCGATTTGCTAATGTTTACATTTTATTACCATTGACAGTTCTTACTAGTTTACATTTTCAAACTTTAAAGTTCCTTTTTTTTTCCCTTAAGGTAATAAGCTATTTCATGAAGGGATAGTAAAACTCTACCATATCCTGGGTTTTAGGGACCTTCCCACCTTAGAACAAATCCCTGGGAAGTTATGCTTCAATATCCAAGTGGTGGGAACAAAGCCCTGCTGGTTTGGCTCTGCACACAGAGACAAATGCTAGTTACAGAGCTCACCGTTTTGAAGCTGATGTCACAACAGCTGTCCTTGACTTGTGTCAACTCTGATGTTCTATTTGTTTCCTTCAACTAGGCTTACATATTTCTGTTCCCTTATCTGTTAATTCTTTTGTAACATCCTGCCCCTCTGTATTGTCCCAACTCTCTATTTCCTTTTAATCCCTCTTGGGAATTTATGTTTTATTTTCCTTTTAAGACAAATAGTAATTTTATAAAGCAAGCACGACACAACAAAAAGGTGGGGAGCAGGGAGGATCTGTGAAGAACAAAGGACCCCATGGCACCTGTCTTTTTGTTGTATATTACCTAATGTAAGTATCAGAAACTGGGAAGAGCTACATTTTTTAAAAGGGAGAAGCTGATGCTTAGTAAGTATAATAGACCTACACTTTGAGTAATACAAAATCATGAATATGTTACTAGAACTCTAGAAAAAATTAAAAATTGCACATAGAAACAGTGTCTTTAGGGCAAAAACATTTTAGAGTTCAATATGATGACGTCAAATACAGTTTTTAAAGTACTGTAAAGA